GTAGAATGTGTGTTTAAGTACAAGAGTACATATTTTTGCCAAAGTTAGGGAATTATGCTGAGATTAAAAAAAAATGAAGAACCAGAGAAATAACTGTTTTCTACATTCTACAAGTTCAAAAACAATACCCTCAGGACATTCATTCCAAAAGCATGAGATACTGGGAATGGAGAGAGATGAACCTTAGGGGATCTCAACCCAGAGCATGGTGTATTGCAACTACGAACCGTGACCAAATCTAACCCACTATCTATTTCTGTAAATAAAGCTTTATTGGAATATAGCCACTACCCACTTGTTTATACACTGTCTGTGGCTGGTCTTACACTAAAACAGCAAAGTTGAGAAACTACAACAAGACTGTACAACCTTTCGAGCTTAAAAGGCATATTTTCTGACCCTTTCCAGAAAAAGCTTGCAAACTCCCTGATACGGCGCAGAGATAAGCTGCAGAAAATATTATTTCCTCGGGGAGAAAATACAGTCTCAGGGGTTGGAACAAGTTTTAGAGGAAATGTAATACTTAAAGATAAGTAAAAGCTCACCAAAAACAAAAAAAGAGGTTAAGAATAAATATCACACATAAAGGCACAAGTGGAGTGAACACCTTATTTTAAGAAAACAAGAACAGGCATAGTTCAACTGGTATATATGAATACTGATGGTGTGGCAATGAGAGAACAGCAGAAAAAAGACTGGTAAAATAGGGTAAGGTTAGGTTACCTGTCAGAAGCCTAAACTTGTTACTATTAGTAGTTGAAGGATATTTTACCATAAAAGTTAAAATATTAAAACTAATGAATACATTTTTTGAAATGAGAATGGCTTCCAATGTAATTTTTAATGTTTGTCTTGCTATTTGAATGGACATTTTCTGAATGAAAGTAGAAAGAGTGAGATTACAGACACCCAAATGCCTAAATGCATAGATACTAAGTATACAATTGGACATTCTGTTGCATATTTGAACCTCATGCAATTCATCATGCTGTCAACAGGAGGTAAAAAGACTAAGAAAGTTAGTTGTAGGAAATGGGAAGCAGTTGGAAATCATTAAGCAATAGAATGCCGGTATGGGAGAGCGGGGCAGCAGAGCAGTTTGGAAGCCACTAACTACAGTAAGAATGGAGTTTAAAGCAGAAGTACAGAGGAAGGAAAGAGGCAAAGAGGCAAAGAGGCTCAGACCTTTAAGGAGAGACTGAATGGAATATAGACAAGAATATGTCCTCCAAAGGTAACTGAAAGTGAAAAGTGGTTACACATGTGAGTAATGTAAAAAGTGATAAAATACAAAGATAAATTTAAAAAAAAGTGGTGAGTGCAGATGACATCTGGAAGTGATGGTGGCTGAAATAATAGGAAAGGATGAAACTTCTTTGGGATAGTAGATATTATGTGTACGAAGGGAATTAAGCAAAGAAAAAAAGTCAGGAAAAAACTCCACGTTTAAAAGGCAGCTAGAGTAAAAACAGCCAGGAAAAGAGCAGGGAAAAAAAAAGACAAAAGTGGTGCTTCAGAGGTCAAGAGCATAGTGTCAGGAAAAGGACACCAACTTGGCCACAACCACACAAAATAAAGAGTCGAGCTGTTGAGATATATTCATAAGACCTTCAAATGATGAAGTATAAGATAATGCATGGAGAGAGTGAGCACCCAAATGTTTATAGACTAAAGAGCTACGGGTTTAAGGATAAGGGCTCTGAATTCAGAGGGACTTGGCCTGCAATCCCAGCTCTAGTATCTTTGGTAAGTTTCAGTCTTCAACCTGCAATGTGCATACAGGTTGGACACCATTAATATAAAAATTCAAAATCCAAAATGCTTCAAAATCTGAAGCTTTTCAAGTGACAACGCAATGCCATACTGATAAATTATACTCCTGACTTCATGTGACAGATTGCAGTCAAAACGCAGTAGAATTTGAGCCTATCCTAGGCAACACAGCAAAACCCCATTTCAAACAAAACAAAAATAGAGATGCAGTGAAAATATTGTATAAAATTATCTTCAGGATATGTGTAAAAGGTGTGTATGAAACATAAATCAGTTTTGTGTTTTGACTTGGGTCCCATCTCTAAAACATACTACTATGTGTATAAAAATGTTCCAAAATTCTTAAAAAAAAAAAAAACCCAAAAGTCTGGAACACTTCTGGTCCCGAGTATTTTGGATAAGGGATACTCAATCTGTAATAGTACTTATTGCTAGGAGCAATAAGCAGTACGTGGTGAGAAATAAATGAGATAATGTAAAGTACTTAAAATAGTGCCTGGCACACAGGAAGTAACTTGAATGCTGGCAGCTGTTATTAAAATCATTTTTACTGGGAAAAAGAAAAGCAAATCACTGTAACTATTGCCTGAAGGCAACTCTGCTGCTAGAGTCAAAAACCAAACAACTGGTAAATACTGAGTTGTATACAAAACACGATCATACTTTATATACAACTATAGTACATCTTAACTGGAACCACTGAGCACAAATATACAACAATGTAAAGATGGGATTTAAAATACAACACAACAAAACATAATTGGATCTTCCATCTCAGAAGAAAATAAAAGAAGGTGCATGATAAAAGTCTATACGAGAGTTCTAATATTGCCCAGAGAAACGGAAGAACTGACCAGCAGATGGAGCTCTCTAGAAAACGTTGCATAGTAAAGAAGAATAACTCATTAGGATGTCTAAATTTTGTTTCTTAAAGATATTTAAAGTCCTCTGTTTTAAGGTTTCCAACATACCTTTACACTGATATTGGTATTTTGACTAGTGAGCAGATATTCTACAATATAAAATGCTAGAATACTCTAAAATTTTTTGGTAATTATTATTTTGAGATTAGATAGTGTAAAGTGAGTGATCTGATTTTGAAATACTCTTGGGAAACCTATAAGGGGAAGAAATCAGGCCTTGGAACAGAAAGCATCCCTGTGGAGTCCAGCTTAAATCAGTGCAACAAAGCCCAGGATGACCTATTTTCCTACTGCAGTAATTATAGTTACATATAAAACCAAATCAAGCTTTTGTGATTACTCCTAAACTTTTTGACCTCCTATACTTATGCCTAAAAGAAAAGCAAAACTACCAGATGATTAAAAAATAGCAACTAAATTGAGAGGCAGTTTAACCTTATTGTGTAAATAACTATGCCTACCTGTTTCTACATGCTTACAGGAAGCTGCTAAAAATGTACGACTAATATTAAACAGTAAGTTAGAAGATTCAAGTAAGGGAATTGTCAAAACCTACGTTTATGAACTAAAAGAAACAGGATCAATATTGATTATATGGTTTTAGATAACAAGTGTTGACAACCCACAAACTCTCACTGCCTCAACAGGATTCGTTCAAGGAGTTTTGCCAAAAATAGAGTACAGATACACCAGTTATGTTTTTATGACACATCTACAGACAATTAACACTCACACTGATGCACTGATTTCCTCCTGCTACTCCCTATGCTGCCAAGCTCATGTATTCAGGAAATAGAATCTACAACTTCAATACTTTAAGGAAAACAGTTTGTAAAATCACTGTGAAAATACAAAACAAAAATTCCACAGAATCCATATAAAATTGTCCAAAGTCAAATCTAAATAATTTTTGGTGTACCCATTTAGGATTTAAGACCCTTCCCTTTTTTTAAGAGTTAGATTTAACACTTTCCAACACAACAACAAATGTTGATAAAGCCAAAGAGTGTGCATCCAGTCCTTAGACAAGCTATTTAAATGGCTTGACTATATAGCTACATCCACACACAAAAAGGAGAGGTAAATTAGATGATTCTGGATGACAAGATGAAACAGCTGTCATGCCTCCATGTAACAGTAACAGCACGTATGCAAGGGAAATCAAAATATTAAAGCAAGAAGAAAAATCTATTAAGTCTTTACACTTCCATTCTATAGATACTTAGTGTAAAACCATAGCTACTTTGCACCAGAGGTAACACAAAAGCCAGATGAGTAAGTGAAACATACTCTATTTTATTAGGTCTCCCATTACCTGAATTAATAAATCACCTGGTTTGGTTGTGCTGAACACTTTACAACTAAAATGGGACAGATGCTGTAAACTTAGCAATATGCTTCAGAAAGGGCAAAACAGTCTTATTCCTTACATAAAGTGGCTTGGTTCAGATTTTCAATTCTAGGTTTGAATTCTATGAAATAATAGTAATAACAAAACAACTGCAAGGGAGTTTGCCCCCACTTTTCAGTACTTTATGGAATAAAAAATCCAAACTTTTACTATTCTGTGGATGGTGTGGACAGAAAAACTTTGGCACATCCTCTTTACTCAAGAGAATGGCTCTGATTTATCTAGCGTTATGAGGAGTGAGGGCAGCAATCACGCATGGCATTCCAATCCAAATGTGAAAAATTTAATATGAAGAACAGCATTTTGCCTCTCTTGTCCCCAGCACCCAAAAACTGAACGCCCAATGGAAACTCAGCAATCTGGCAACTCCCTGTACTTATCAGAGAGTTCATCCGTGCCTAGAACCTAATTTTACTCAAGTGCCCAGATTTCTTCTTAAAATCCCACCCGTTGGAGACATCAACTTTGGAGCCGAATTCTCACCTGCTCTGTTAGGTGAGGCAGAGCCAAAGGCAGGATGAAATATATTTGCTTTGGCATTGAACCCAAGCCCAACGTAGGGTGTGTCCAGTTTCTGTGGAGCCCGTCCCACTGCCCATTAGTGCGCGAGTGCCCTGTGCCTCCTCGAGATGACTGATGCCTCCCGTGGCTCTTTCCCGCGTGACAGGGGCCTGGAGGGGGGTCTTGCTGGGGGGGGGGCAGGAACAACACCCCGCCCCTTTCTCTAGGTCTTTCCTACGGGGCCCTGAGACCGCCCTCAAACTGAGGCCTCCGCGGTCACCCGCGGGGTCAGGGCAGCGGGGCTTCGGTCCCCTCCCAGCCGTTGGGGGACAGTGGAAGGGGCTCCCGCCAAGGTCGGATAGGAGGGGTCGGGCCCTCCCCAGCGCGCTTACCCTCCGCCGCCTCCTACACGCTGCCGTCGCCCCGCTTCCTTGCGGAGCAGCCCGAAGCACTGCGTCCAGCAGCAGTTCCCCATCGCATGCCGCCCGGGCGCCGCCGCTGCTCCTCCTCCTCCTCCCGCTCAAAGCCCAAGTCCAGGCCCGCAGCCGCATCCGCGCGGCACGAGCCGAAGGAGGGTTCGGGGACCGAGGGCGAGCCGGCCGGAGCGCGGCGGCGTGAGGGGCTAGGGCAACGCGAGGAACAAGGCGCTCCGAACAAAGGCAGCGGTTACACCAGCAGCCTCCGAGCCGCCGCTGCGCGAGGGAGGAGCGCCGGGCTGCGGCCTTTGGACTCCCTCGTCGTCCGCATGGCCTCTCGCCTCAGCCCCCCAGCCCAAATCCAGTGACCACCTCCAGCGGCCGCAGTAGGCCAGTTCCGCGAGCCGGGCGTCCAGGCCCCGCCTTCCTGCTCACCCAGGCCTTAGCCGCACTGCCAACGCCGCCACGCCCCCCGGCCTTTCCTGGGTTTCAATTGGGCGCGCTCTAGGTGGCCCCGCCTCCTCCGTCGACCGGTAGTTGCGTCACTTCCGCCAGTTTCTGCTTACGCCGGCTTGGCTCCCTTGCGTACTCAATTTCTGGGTGTGTATGTAGTGCTTGTTGGACCTCGACCCGGCTAGAAAATTTCCTTCTCTCGTAGTTTACGGCGTCTTGGTTCCGAGCGCGCCGGGTGTCGAATGGTTAAAGCTCAGCCTTCGAACTTTGTACTGAAGTCTTATGAACCGTTTACCTAGAGCCCCATGCCGGAAGTCATGGAAAGCACTTTCCTCTGTGCAGCGAGTGGGTGCTTGGTCTTTGGTAATACTGCACCATGGTGGGAAGTAGAGGCAGGGATGCTGATTGAAATTACTTTGAACACAGAGACTGTTTCTCTTCCTATAATCTCGTTTGCGTCCCATACTGTCAACGTAGTAGGGAAACATTAATAGTGCCCTGCAAACCAAAAAACAATTTTTTTTAAAAGTCAACTCTTCAAATAATTTCTGGCGTGAAAGTTGGAGTCCCGAGGAAATCGGAAAGACCTGTGGTTTTTTAGGGCAGCAGCCTTTCCACTTCAAGCATATGCACTTCCCAGAACTTGTAGATGGAGTGGGTGGGGGAGCGTCTGCAGCACCCCTGTTTCAATGCTACTTAAAAGTCAGTTTTTCCCAGCAGGTGGCCTCAAAATAGGTTGTACGGCATGGCTTAGTAAATGCCTAGACCAGTGGATAAGATGCTTCACTGACTTATCGGACATCCCAACTTTTAGCCTTTTAATTTACCCTAATGAAATTGTTATATTTTAGAAAATTTTTGTTAGTAATAAAATGCCCTTTGAGCTATTCATTTTCTTGGTTCTCGAAATCTAGACTAACAAGTGTTTTAATATTAGCACTGCTACTTAGCTAATTTTATTTGGGTCTTAGTCGTTTTGTTTTGTTTTTTAAATCACGTGCACAGAATATTGGCCCAGCGGGCTGCTCTCTTGAGTGTTGGTGAAATGTCTGAATGATTTCCTAAACAGTTACTGTATTTTCTTGAAGTCAGTCCCTTAAGAACAGACAAAAATGTTAATAAACGAATCCTAATCTTTAATGTTTAACTATAAATGTGTTATGGAAACTGGCACATCCTATGCAATATTATTCATCAACAAAAAGGAACTGATAAACACACCTTGAATGAATCTGCAGGAAACTATGCAGAATTTTTAAAAAATCTCAAAGGCTTCCATGTTGTATAATTCTATAACGTTTTAGAAATGACAAAAGGATAGAAATGGAGAACGGAGCAAGTGGCTGTCAGGGGCCAGGAAATGAGTGGATCCTTGTGATAGCCTGTATCTTGGCTATCTGTGTTAATATCCTGGTAGTGGTAACTACACTGTAGTTTTGCAAGATGTTACTTATTGAGGGAAACTAGATTAAGGTACATGTAGTGATCTCTTATTTCTTAAAACTGCATGTGACAGTGACACAAATATTGCAAAATAAAATGTTTAAGAAATGTCCACAACTATGGACTTGATAGGGATACTTCTCATAGGCATTCTTACAAAACTTTAAAGTAAACGTCATTTGAAAATTTTAAAGTAAATCTGTTCTCTCAGTCAATGCAAATGGCTAAAACATTTTTTAAAAACCAACATTACTAAGTCAAAATAGTGCAAATTAAAACAATGAGAAATCATTGTTCACTTGTTAAATTAAAATTTACAAATGCAAGGTCAGTATTTGCAAGAGTACAGTGAACTGGTACTCTCTTAAACTGCTGCGGACAGTGAAACTCATTATAAAAAGTCATTTGGAAATACCAAGATTCAGAAACTAAATGCTTAACAATTAGAGGATGGTTATATTTGATGGTACATTCTTATTATGTAACCAACAGAAAGGTGTTTTGAGAACTGCTTCCCCAACCCTTAAATTTGGGAGGAAGTATAAAATCAGTAAAGACTATAGTCGAAGTGTATTTTCCAAGATACATGTGTGTAACTCATTACAGCTTGAGAGTTCATTTACCTGACAGTCAACTAAGTAGTATATTGTTTACCAGTGAAAGCCCTGTAATGTCAGCTTGCTACAGAGACCTTATTTGCCCCCACTGTCTAGGTTGGGGACCTCTGTTCTTCCCCATTCCCTTCAAAGTTCTCTTCTCTCCAGTATTTCACTCTGAAATCAAAGAGAAAGGTGTTTGTTTGTTTCTTTCTTCTCAGTTTCAGTGGAGTCAGGATACAATGTGTACCTCTGTCTTCTGATCACAAGGTTCCAAATTTGCGTCTCTGTTAAGAACTCTATTGGCTATTAATCAGTTGTGTCATTTCTAGAGCAGTTGCAACTGTCATGTTGTTCTGACATGCTAGGTAGTGTGTGTGTAAGGGAAGAATTCTGTGCTGTCCATTGTCACATTTGTCCAAACAGGGACATAAACTCATCCTTTAAATTCACTCCGTAGTTTAGATTACCAAAACTTACACAGGGTGCTAGATCAGCCACTATAAATAGAAATAATGAATAAATTTACATTTGTCCAGATAAATGATTAAGCATCTATCAAATGTATAATGTAATATACTAATTTCTATAAGATACTATATATACTTACATACTACAATTATAATACCACACATACAATATTACTTACTAGTGCTTAGTATCATACACTAATTTCTATAATGTATTATATATAATTTTAATACTACAAATGTAAATGTTAATTATTTTAGCATTCACAGATGGAAGGAGATTTTCATCAACAAGTTATACTTTCCTTTGTCACTACATAAACCTCTGGTATCCTGTGAAAAAAAAATACTACCTTAAAAAAAAAATTCTACCTGTTAGGATTGTCCTCAAGCACACTCCACACCACTACTTGAAGTCAGGCACTAAGAAAATATGACTGGGAAAGAGGAAATATTTCCCTAAGTCTTAGGCTTTGTCCTATGATCTGCCTCTTTCAGGATGATTGAAAGTAAAAATAATCCACTGGCTTAAGGGAAGATCTTGCCTGCTAGCAATTAGCGGTGTCTTGTCCTGGAAACCCAAATAAAACAATCTCAACTTAACATGGCAATCTGATATCATTATCATTCTTAAAGTCTTTTTTATTCAGTACAGGTTCACATTGACCTAGTCTTGCCTAATTTTTTTGTGCATATTTACTTCCATTAGCTATGGTGTAGAATTTAAGAGCACTAAGACTAGGATTAGCTCCTTTGCACTCAACGATGGCTTGAACAAGAGAGATTTCCACACATAAACACTTAACAGACATTTCTCCAAAAGAGTCCCAAAGAACCACTCTATTCTATGTATAATGCAAATAATTTTGTACATTATCAGAGTGTTTAGGTCCCTTAAAATTCTTCTCTCAAATCCCTTAATTTCTCATGACTGTTACTTTACATTTGTATAACTAAATAGTTAAATATACCATATGGATGATTCTCCCCCCCCCAAAAAAAAAGTCACAGAAAGTTGTGCTTAATGATACACAGGGTAATTACGTAACTCTTAATCACTAGCAACCCATTCTTCTGGCTGTTGGGTGAGTGATGAGCTTCATCACTTAATTCAATGCACACTGAGTGATTTGCCTCCTCCTTTGCTCACCCAACAGCTACATTTTACCAAAAGAGGGATTAGTAGGAACAGTTATATGATTGACTTGCAAGGCATCCTCTGTGCAGAGTTTGTTCCAAATCTCTCATGCCAAGTCAGAGACTGCACTAGTAATTAGAACACAAGGAATCACTAACTAGGGCATTGGTGGTTAGCACTAGAAGGTCAAACATGGGGCTTCTGCAGAGAGTAGCCACAACTTCTGAAACTGAGGAAAAGTGAGGAAGGAAAAAAGAAATTTAGAGAAATGCCCTCAAAGTGGACGTTCAAATTTCTAAGAAATGTGCTGCCTGCCACTGGGGTAGCAGAGAAGTGTGATGAAGGGAGATGCCCACCTTCAACCCTCTCGCCACTTAAGCAGGAGGGCTGTGGCCATGGTAAATGTGCCAGGACTCCTTCCCACTTGCCACCACATTGACAGACTAGCAGAAAAGCGGTGTCACTTCCACAAATGTAATGTCCCTGTAGCACCCTCTGTTGGAAAATGCGAACAGAGAACCATCCAGTTACAGTAAGGTAGTCTAGTTCTACCTCAAACAAGTCAGTGAAAAGTGGATAATAACTAACATAGTTTTCAGCATCCTCATGGGAACAAGAGACAAAGCCTTGCGCTCACACGGGAGGAGTTGAAACAGAACCAGTGTAAAGCTAGAACTTTTGGAGGATTTCACTCAGCCTTTAAGAAATACTTGGGGACTAGGGAAAGCCACACACTGCACTGGTAGATAAAAAAGGAAGTTTGTTAAAAATAACTTGATCTGGTTTTTTTGCAGGCTTTTTTTTCTACTTAAGATGCTAGGATTTACATTAACTTTAGAATCTTGGAATGTGAGGCCAAGAACCAAATATAAAAAATGGTTTGGAGGCAGTGCTATCCTTGAGATTTCTTGGAAAGCAAAACCAAATTTGTTCTGGGAGTATACACCTTCTATTTGAGTTGCACAGGTTTGCATGGATGTCAAACCATACTGATAATGAACCCGCAATCATATATTACAAAGAAAATGTCATGCATATTGGCAGATATTAAGGAGTAACAGTGGACAAAACCATAAATTTTATAAAATAAATACAGTAAAGCAATCAGATGGACACTATAAAGTAAGCATATTTACAATAGTGTCATAAAATGAAAGCAAGGAAATACAAAAGAACTGTTCACCAAAATAGAACTAGTAGAAACAAAAATTCAAAATATTGAAATGAAACAACAAACAGAGAAACTTCTGCTTCCAGTTAACATGTAGAAGGACATGAAATACACATGGTAACAATAAGAAAGAC